GCCTGATATCGCTGCTTAGAGGGCCTGATATCGCTGCTTAGAGGGCCTGATATCGCTGCTTAGAGGGCCTGATATCGCTGCTTAGAGGGCCTGATATCGCTGCTTAGAGGGCCTGATATCACTGCTTAGAGGGCCTGATACCGCCGCTTATAGAGCCTGATATCGCTGCTTAGAGGGCCTGATATCGCTGCTTAGAGGGCCTGATATCGCTGCTTAGAGGGCCTGATATCGCTGCTTAGAGGGCCTGATATCTAAGTACATAGTCCATGCGGCATACACAAGTTGCAAGAAAATGCCGCGCAGGCTCCGCATTTTTGCGGCGTTTGCTTAGATCCGCGGCAAATGAAGGAAGGCAGGGAAATATTTGGCCGCTCAGCATCAACACATGCACGAGTTTGCACTCCATGCCTCCTCGAGATCACGCGGGAACGGTTAAGAATGAGGCGGGAATGAGGCGGGAATGAGGTGGGAATGCTGCATCTCCATGGGATGTTTGTTTGGAATGTGCAGCGGCGCGTTAGACTCCCGTGCCGACATTCGTAAAACTTTCAGCTTTGTGGATAGAAGCGCATTGGACTTCGAAAAATTCCTCTTTTTGTGAACTCTCCGCTATAATCTGAACTGGGCAAGAAGCAGTTGAATTGTACTCACTTCATCACCTGGCAAAGCTTGTTAATACATCGTTGTCTTAAAGCAGGCCCTAGCCTGACGTGTTTAAAGGCTGTAAACTGTTTTAATTATGCTTGAATTGAGATGCATGCAGGTCATATAACGTCGTGAGAGGGTAGCAGTTTAACGTCAGGGTAGGGCAGGCAGCGGTAATCCCAGCTGTCTGAGGGCAAGCTGCGGTAATCCCAAGCTGTCTGAGGGTAAGATGCGGTAATCCCAAGCTGTCTGAGGGTAAGATGCGGCAATCCCAGCTGTCTGAGGGTAAGATGCGGTAATCCCAAGCTGTCTGAGGGTAAGATGCGGTAATCCCAGCTGTCTGAGGGTAAGATGCGGTAATCCCAAGCTGTCTGAGGGTAAGATGCGGTAATCCCAG